AATTTGCAAATGACACAAAATTGGGTTGGCTAGCAAATAAACTAGAAGACCAAAATAAAATTCAAAATAATGTTGGTAAGACTGTAGAAATTGAGTGAATGTAACAGAGTGAGGTTTAATAAAGACAAATGAAAAATTCTTCACTTGGGAAACACAGTTCAAGGGCATAGGTATGGAGGATATCTGGCTTGGTAACAGTACTTGTGAAAAAGATCTGCAATTGTAACTGAATACAAACTGAACAAGCTATATCAACAGAAGTATGGTTTCTCAAGCATAGAAAGAGACTTGATACAAAAGGGAACACCAAGTCCTATTTCATTCTGAATTGGTCAGAACGTTCATCCATTATTGTGTCCAGTTCCAGACACCACACTGTATGAAGGGTTCAGAGAAACTAAGAGAGCTTCAGAGAAGGGCAACAAGTACCTAAAAATAAATTCTACATAGAGAGACTGAAGAAACTGGAATATTAAGAAGACTGATATAATAGCTCTCTCCAAATACCTGAAATATATAATGTAGATGGTCAAGATGGTATTCTCTAGCACACCAGAGTACCGGACATGAAACAACAGATTTAAGTTTAGGCAGGCAGATTCTGGTTCAGTGTTGGAAACAGCTGTCTAACTATCAGATGAGTTTGATAGTAGAAACAATTACTCAGGGAAGTGGTAGGCTCCCCTTCACCAAAAGTGGTCAATGGTAGTTTAATTTGGATTCCTGCACTGAACAGGAGGTTGGACTCGGTGGCCTAAATGGCCCCCTCCAACTCTGTTATTTTAATTGCCATGTAAAAAATCCAGAGTTCTGCCTTTGAACCAAAGAGACATTCTACCTGTGTTGCTTTTACTAGCATAAATAAGAACATTTGCAACATTAAATCACTTTCTAATGTGATCAGTCTGGGCTTGCCCCAAACTTTGAGCCTAAGGCAAGAGACAAATTGAGATTCCTTCCCTTGTTCTACCTATAGAAACTGATTAGAGAATCCAGACTGGCAGTGAGTCATGCAATGGCCAGTCTTCCCCTACCCACCCCAAAAACTAGGGGGAATAGCTAGAAGTTAGAGTCAAAGGATTGTCACTGCTAGCACCTGCTACCTGAAGGTGGTGCTTCACACTGCCTTTATGGCCAATAAACAAAATAGAAAATGGGACTCTGCTAGGCAGAGAGTAGTGGGCTTGGTACTTAGGGGAGAAAAACACCAGGAAGAGACTTAACCGTAACCCTCACAGTGTCCTTTAGTGTAGTCTTTTACCATTTCTGTCGTTTATTTTCTTGGGAGAAAAGACTGAACTTGAGAACAGCATTTTGTTGGAGCCAAAAACCTTTCAATCATATCTCCCATTATAGACCCTGAAAGAGTCACTGTGCAGAGCAAGGCAGGTAACCTTTTGGGTGGGGGAGGGGGTGCTGAGGACTGTCCTTTTATCTTTTCCCAAAGACCATGGGACAAGATGATGACATCAGTGGATGGGAAGGGTGTCTCAGATTTTTTTTCCCCTCTCTTAGACAGTTTTACTTTCATAGGTTAGTTGGACTGTAAGAGTCTTTATCCAGATTCCTATAGGGATACAAATCCCACAAAAATAACACTTAAGGTCTACCTGTGGTCTTTGGAATGTGGGTTACCCTTCCTAATGTGAACATCATAGCAAGTTTACTTGCAGCCAGCAAAATTATAGACATCTACTAACAGTTCATCACTCCCTGAGAGAAAGAAGTTTGGCCATGCTGTCTGCTCCAGGAATGAGTATGAAAGATTCCATGGATACTGTGGCTGGGTCTGAAGAAAAAAAAACTGAAGGGCTCCATCCTTCCTTCCTCCCTCTATGAGGACTGGTAAAGGCCTCTATCTTGTAAATATAAATGAGTCAGCTGGCACTGAAAAGGAATGCTTTGAGAGAGCATACTTCAAATTAGATAATCTATTGCATTCCAAGCTCCTCTGGACTACTGATCATATTAATGATGGAAGCTCTTCCAAAGCAATTTCATTGTATTCATAATCCTCTTCACATTGTATAGAGCAGTCTGTTTAATATATACGAGGCATAAATAATGTAGCTACCTATTTGCAATGTAACATTTCAGGGGATAAATAAAAAAAAGTATTTTAATGGCCATTTTAAAATAATATTGCCAGAGCAGCATGTTATTAATATTTCACTTGGCCACAAATCATCCTAAGAATTAATATCTTATATCTTTGGAAACAGCCTGCCAGCAACCAACACGTTTGGGATGTGATGATTTAACCATGTGAAAAAACTGATTAAGAAGAAGCTCTTCTCCATGCATCTTTCTTCTCTTCTACTGTGAACACTCCATGGCCTAAGACACCAATTCAAGGAGCAACATCTCTGTGGCCAAAGAGGTCAACCCATATAAAGAGCAGGAAAAAGCCAGCTTTGGAATAATCAAGAACTTTCAGCTATATGGTAGGCATATAGCTATGGCTAAAGCAATGTTTGTCAGCCATTCTGAATCCAGGGTAAACATGAAGAGATTGGTGCAAATAATCATGGGAACACAGATTAAAAATGTAAGATTCACTCAGCGTTCAGTTTCCACAGTGGCCAAGCAGAAGCCTATGAGAAACCCACAAGTAGGATAAGAATACAATAGCACTCTTCCATTCATGTTCCCTAGCAACTAGTACTTACAGACATACCAGAGGTAATCTATAGCCATGATGACTAGATGAGATGAACTTAACATTGCTGAGAAAATCCGTGCGTTGGGGATAGTAATTTCATGCTGCCTTTACAAGAGGCACAAAACACATATCTTTAACCTTTTCTTAAAGCCATGCCTAGAGAAGCAACCACACCCACAAATCCAGTGTGAATCAGTGACCATGCACAGTTTGGTTGGAAGGAGGTTATGTATCAAGGTCTGGACTGGGGAAGTAAAGAAGTACCACTGTGACCATTCTTTGGATTCTATCTTTCCTGGAATGCACAAGTCTAAATAATTATGAAAATAATTGTTCTCTAGAAAAAACAAAAAATATTTCTTTAAAAAAATATATATTTCATAGGGAAAATAATACCAAGCTAACAAAATAACATAAAGAAGGCTCATCACCCTACATACAGTTCAGTCAATTCTGCAACAGAATATTCATCGACCAATGGAGTTGTCTACCGAAAACAAGGCTGATTAATCTAATACATATTTTGCAAAGATAAAGTACATGTCTATGTTTCTATTTGCTAACGTGTTTCTTTAAGGGCCTATATGTACCAGAAACAAGACATCTTTAAATGCAAAAGCTTTGTTCTTTTCCTGACACTGTCCAGCACCTCTCATCATAAACTCAGAGGACTAAGTTACAACACAATTTTAAGCATGTTAATGCAGAAATTGGGCCTTGGAGTTCAGTGGGGATTTTTTTCCAAGCATGAACATAGCATAGTAGCCCTCTTCATATTCTGCTTATGCTAACAAGTGTCAGCAAGAAATCATTATGTACCCATCCTTGAGCCATCATATGACCAAACTGCAATTGGTAAAAATATATTATATGCATATGTCCAAATATGGATGTGATCATTTAAAGCAATGGGAAGGACTCACTGGTTTTCCTGTTTTCCAGACATGATGTGTATTGTAAGAAAAATATTGTGATCTGAACTTATTTTTATCCCAGAGCAGGCTAAACATTTGTTCAACAGGAGAAACATTTTGTACAGTGGGAGAAAACTACCAGCTCAGCTGCAAATATTTTATCATTAGTGGCTCCATGGTTTTAAATCAATGTGAAGGGCTCCAACATTTGATAACCAATGAGATTTCTAGCAGAGCCCTGCTGGTATTAGTTCTTTGTCAGAAATTCATAGGAGAGTATGTTTATAAAACTGCACATCCAAAATATCCCTTTCCATTTTTACTGCCTTAACATTTATTGCTGGGAGGGAGAATCCCAGCAGCATCATTTTATGCAGTGTCTTGCACATCTGAGTGAGTGTGTTTGTATCTAAATATATCCCACTCTGAATGGTCACACCCTCCCCTTTTTGTTCATCGGTTCAATATGCTGAGGGGCTATTAAATGCTTTTGCCTAATGACATTACGACTTGTACACTGAGCTGTTTCAAGACAGATGCTTCTTGATGTTCTTTTCCCGGGGAACCCAGCTGAATGCCACTCAACAGCCTATTCGTGTATCTTCTTTAAAAAGATACCACAGAACCCCACATAAAGATTTTGCCTATACATCACGTTCTGGCATCTCCTAACCATGCAGAATGGGCTAAAGCAGAAGTAAGATAAATCCCTGTTCCATTACAAACAGCCTTCGACCACCAGAAACAGACAAGCTGATCATTTTTGCTAGCAGAAATATTTGCATGTGGCAAGACCACAGAGGACCAGAAACTGCCATTCATCTGTGACTAACCAGTGCACTGAAGAAAATAAAGATACAACGAGAGAAGCATCTTTTTTTTCAGCACTGTATCTCCTTTCCAAAACCAGTGCGGTGAGCTTCAAAAAAGGGGAGGGGGTTGAGGATACCAGCGGTCTTTAGAAAATGGCTCTTCCTGCTGAGGCAAGCCCAGAAAGGGCTCCCACCACCACCATCACCACCCTGGCCATTTAGCTGGGGATCCCAAAGTGAGATGAGATGGAAAATTCTGAGACAAGGAAAAGGCAACGGGGCTGATCCCGGCAGGCAAGAAGTTAGTGCAAATGGGAGATAATACGCCAGCAAACAAGGGAGGAAAAATCAACCCAGGCAGATATGGATGAACATCGCTCCCAAAGCGGGCCAGTATAGATTATGCACACACAAACACATATAAATATATATGGAGGCCTCTTTTCTTTCTCCCTTGCCCAACCCCGCTCGGGATTCCTGCGCCGCCTCGGGGAGACTTAGCAACAAGTTGAACAACTTGAAAGGCGGACAGCAGCACTTTCAGAGCGGTCGTGAGAAGGCGAACACCGGACCGAGAGGAAGGCTGGAAGACAGGCTCGCAAAGATGCTTACCACCAAGACTGGCACCCCCGCCGCCAGCGAGTAGAGGAGCACGGGGGGCACCGCGCTGCTCTCCTCCGGGCCCGGGTAAGGCTTGCGGTAGGCGCTCTCGTAGCAGAAGAAGCCCTGCAGGTTGACCGTGAAGGTGTCGGTGTACTCGAAGTAATAAGCCAGCATCACAGTCCCTGCCATGATCACCATCTGGAAGTAAAGCATTCTGGTAGGAAGAGGAGGAGAGGGCACTGGCATGTACTCCAGCGGCCGCGGCAGGCCCCTTCCCCGGCTGCGCGCTCCGCCCGCTTCCCGGCGGCATTCACCGGGGAAGGGGGCGGCGGCTGGTCCAAGGCGGCGGCGGCGGCGGCGGCGGCG